AAGCAGAACACGCTGAAGGAAACTTCCTGTGTAGCTTAGAAGTTTTTTGAATAGATCCTTCCAGTAAGTATAAAGCTTGTTAACACAGGCCCCATATGGCTAGGTAACTAACGCCAAGGGTAGAAGCCATGCCTTGGCTACTCCGATCAGTGAAAGAAAGGTGAAAACCAACCACAGCGAGGAAGTACAAATGATTAAGAGCTGCCCTAAAAGCAACTTGCCCGCTGATGAAGGCTAATCAGAACAAGACCTGTGCAACCCATGCGCTGTGTCAGGCTGGTAAATCCAGCTGTGCGATAGCAGAACAAAATTTTATTCCAGGTTTTTTGAAGCACCACCATGACTGACACAAATGCTCCAGCTGGAAGAAAGCCAACAGTTAATCAGGGTTCCTTAGAATTTGGAGGTAATTTTAGCAGAACAAGAAATACAGAAGTATCAGTGAGTCCTGAACATTCCTCCAGGACAAAAATCTATTACTTCATATAAGTCCATTAAAACACTTCATCGAGCCCTTTTAATCCCTCTTAACAGATTTGCTTTATCACAGACAGAGGAGCTAATCCTCTCCCACCTGTCTTTACGATATGGAACCATAAACAAGAGCAAGTACTTTTCATTTGTTAAGCATTACCCCCCCTTGGATAATGCTATCATCCACACCAGCATTAGTGTAATGAAGCCGCCTTTAGAGAAACACCCCAACTCTCTCAAATTCTCACCCTAGCAATGTATTCCTCCAGCAGGGCACCTGGAAACTTATTCACCATCTGTTTCCAAAACTCATCTCTTACCATGAGTTTCAAGGCACCAAGCAAGCCAAGACTTGAATTCCGGCTTGCTGGAGGGACTTCCTTTTTTCCTTCAACCCAGATCTTATGTGACACATTTCAGGACTCTGCTGTGTATAACCAGATGGCCGGCTCGTTCAAATCCATCACCAACCTATACAATTAGGTTAGTAGGTCAGCTGAACTTGTCGCCTAATTACACGATCATTTTATACAGAGTTCTCTTTATTTTTCAAAGTAAGATCTCAAAGCTATCTGAAAACAGTCAAGAAATAATTTTTATGATCTACATTGTAACGGACGTCTGACAGTCTGGCACTCTACGGACGGGTAGAAAGTAATCTGAACAGCCCACTGACAAATTTTGGGTTGAAGAACCGAAATCTGCACTTCCGTCTCCTAATCGCCAAGAATCTCATTAGCCTTCAGCAAACCCCCTTACAACAAAATACAGGATCTCTAGATGGTCATTCCAGTTGCTATACTGCAGAAAGTAGAACAGATTATAATGACTGACCACTTAGGGCGTATTTAAAATAACTTTTGTCTCTTCAGGCTGTGGAGGCTTACTTCATACATCAGTCAGCTTGCTCAATTTTTTTCCGCTAGAGAGACATTCATTTGCTCTCATGCAACCCTGCGTGGTTCTACACCACAAAATCTGTCTGCCTGGAAGAAGTCACAGTCATTTCCGTAACATCAGGCAACGACCCTGCGTTCCAGAGGACCTGAAAGTGAACTCAAATACATAGATGTGTATTAAGTACAAACGATACAGCATCTAACCCAAGAAAAACCCCTATTATTCTCATTGCTTTAACACTGCCTTCTCTAGGTGACACCTGGCAGTTAGAATACCATTTAAGACACACAAGGAACTGTTATTTTCTCATTGCTGTGTAGGTCAAAGTCAGATTTTCCTCCTAAGGAACTGCAACCTGAAGTTATTCCCAAAGTTTACTTAGTAAAGGGAGCATTAGTTAGTGTGACTAACCAGAGCGTAGGTTTTGTTGATTTTTTTTTAAGAAATCTGAAACAGTGCTGTGACATAGCTCGTGATGGAAGATAATCATTAAAAGACAAGAGTACATATGGGTCCTCTGGGCTTTCTTCTCTTCTGCGAGGAACCAAACCAAACCCCCACGTAAGTCACCTGCCTGGGAAAAAAAGAGAGAGACAGAGGTAAGCAGTATAACGTTTTCTTGAAGAGGAATAACTAACACCCTTCGAGCAAACTTACTCAACACAGAGCTGGATTGTGTCCAGTTATGAAAAGGCAGTTGGCTCGGTATTTTTGAGTGTCAGTACACAGTCTTAAAAATGGTCATATCTGACCAACGGTGACTGTTTGACAAGGATTTCATTGTCTCCCAAGGGCTGTTTGCAGCTGTCACCGTCAGAGAAGTATCGGTGATAAGAAAGTAGTGCAAAGCAAGTCTCCTGCTCCTCAGAAACATTCTTCTCTTGGCTTTGCTTCATCTCATGAAGAATAAATCTTGGAAAGCAGACTTTGTATATACATGTACTGCCGCCCCGCAAGCCTCCCAGCCCGTCACTTTTGTCACGCTGAGGCTGGGAGAGCGGTATTACCAACTGTATACTGCAAAGCAAGTGGTTTCCTAGATGTAGCCAGGTGATAATTTCACTTTATACCTCGCAGAAGTCATCCGTGCCATTTAATAGAGAATGCAACTTTTCAGTCAGCTCACTATATGACACTGGATCAGCTTTGAGGGAGTGAACTACAAAAGCCGAGCTTATTCAAATCATCAATATGCTAGGAGTCAGAACAGCTTGAACACGGTGATTCAAAGCAGCAGGACTTCAAAACGCAAGATATGAGACATTTGTCAAGTTATTACTGTGTTCTTAAAGTGGAGTTTCTCTAGAACCACTTACTCTGAATACCATGTGAAATTACATCCATTTAATAAACTTCTTACTTCAGAAGAATTGTGATGTTAGCCTTGACCCACACGAACAGAATGAGGTTTCCCCACTCACTCTTAATGAAAAGCTTTTTTGTTGAATATCTTGTTAAATGGCCACAAGTAGCTGTGACACTTAGGTCACCCTTAAGAGCCTTTAATTTAAAGACAGAAGATAGATTCAGCTGACATTGGGAAAACGTATGGGAAAAGAACCAAACAAGCCGTAGACATAGGCACAAGCACACACACCCCCAAATTTCAAAGCTAGCAAACTACAGCAACACAACCGTTATTTTTTTTATCCTGCCTCTTGCTTTTTATTTAGATTTGCACTTGGTAGATTCATTACTTCAGTTGACGTACAATTTAACCAGCCAAGAAGTTCTATATAGGAAAATTTAAAATAAGTTTACATGTTAATTTGGTATTCTTTAGGAAGCAAGAAAAAAAAAAAAAACCCTTGAAGTTATGGTTTCCTCCTCCACAACTGTATTTCCAAATGCTTTGGTAAATAAATAGGGCCTACACTTCTTGGCACTGTTAAGCACAATGTATACATTCAATCGTATTGAATATCCCATAGCAAAAACTTACTTGATATATAGTTAGCAAACTTAAAATTAGGTAAACTAAACTAGAGCACAGACTAGTGGTTTTGCAGTATCAATAGGAAGTTATCTGCTACCTGACAGACCGCAAGGAGGAGAAACCCCAATAACCCAGCAATATGCGTACGTAGCTCCCAACCTGTCATCATAACAAAAGAACTCAAGAGCCGTTTTCATTAATTAATATATTTTCTGCATTATAGTTAACATATGTACTTTCTTCGTGTCATCCTTATTTCGTTAAGTATTGATATTTTGTTATATTCAGACATGAGTACATTTTCAAAGTCTTTTGCAATAAATATCATAAAATAATAGAGATTCACATAATAAATATTCTTTACAATAAAAAAAGTTTTAACAGACTTTTGTCTTAAAAATAGCTGGGATTCAACTTTGTGTTTTATACATAAAATATACAAAAAAGGACCACAATTTGTGGCTAAGGCAATAAAACAGGGACAGAATAAAATTATGAAGTACAGAGCAGAGCTAAATTCACTAAACCAAAGGATCACAAGAAACTTTAAGGATTCAAGAACGTTTAGGTGACTCAATGACACCTGAAGGCTGTTTGGATATATGAACACCACCAACTTGAATATCAACTGCTACTGACAGACTATAAAAACAGGAGTAGGAGGGTGGAGTGAGCAATATCCTTCAAAGATTTGACAGCAAAAGAAACAAATGAGTATGTTGCAGCCGTAATGTCTCCAATGTGAAGATCTACACCGTGTAGCAAAAACTGAAGTTACATTGAAAATGTAAAAAAAGGAGGCAGGATAATTCTCAGGACTGAGAATGTTCCAAAAGTTAAAACGAAAAGGGGGGGGGGGGAAGCAAAAAAAAAAAGCAAAAAAGGCTGCTTATAGAAGAGTCAGGCCTTTCATTTGGTAAAGCCTTTATTTTACATCCCTCTCCAGAAAGAACACACACAAAACGTTATTTCACAATCCAGCTCACTCATGAAAGTTGTTCTTCCTTGGTACCCAGGGGGTTAAGGGAGAAAAAAGAAAAAAAAAAAAAAA